TCCCCACTTGAGTCGCGAGCGTGCTCAAGTCTGATTAGGACCTGGAGATAGTTAGACGGGCACAGAGCGCTGGGTGAAGAGTAGCAGAGAGAGGCGGGCAGCTTTACAGTCAGTACCGCGCGAGGCAGGGGCCGTGTAAAGCTCACGGTCGAATGGGGTTTGACAGAACCTCTATATCCCAACAGAGAGATGGCTTGCCACATAGCATTCCAGGAAGGAACAGGCCAGCCTATCACGCGAGGCGGGCTGTCGGTGAGTGAGCAGTGGCTCAGGCCAACTCAGCACGCCAGAGGGATGCGGGATGACTTGTTGGGCATTGAAAACAGGGGGGTGGGGGGGCGGTGGTGGTGGCCGGGGGGGTAGGTGTCTGTTTGTGTGGGATCAGGCAAGGGCTTGCCTGTATGACTAGGGCCACTCGCAAGTTTCCTGTCTGGTAAAGCTCGAGCCCTGCCCAGAGACGGAGGCAGCAGAGCTGGCCGGCAGGCAGGGGAGGCAGAAAGGGCCGGGAAACATTTTCTGCCTATTTGGTAAGCACTCCAAAGACATCCACACACACACTGTATCTCTTTAGACTGTGACTGAGAGGAGGAGAGAGACAGGCAGAGGACATAAATACCACAATACCATAGCGTGTGTGTGTGTGTGTGTGTGAAGGAGAGTGAGAGAGATGGGGCTCGATAGAGTTCAGAGTTCTTGACCCACTTGCAGATAAAGGAGGGGATGGCAAATAGGTCAGCGCTGAGCGTAAGGTGCAGCTCAGAGAAACACTTTTCATTCACATCAGGGTAACTTTTTAACTGCAGGCTCGTTGCTCATCAGTGTTGTTTTTATCCTATTATGGCACAATATATTCTTTTAATGTTCTTGTCTTCTGCTGTGATTAAATGGCACTGCTGCTATTATTAGTAGAGTGAGAAGATGAAGACAGTTGCACATCCTGTACCGCTGCTTCTTTTGGGGGTGTTGAAGTGATTCCACAAAAACCACTGCATCAGATGTTTGTTAGACCAAAGTATCTGTGTACATACAGGAGCTGACAGAGCACAGGTGGGGTGTTAAGTAATAGTTTGTTTCTTCTTGCTGAAGGGAGAATATGTGACTTTCACTGCTAGGATGAGCTGCTTTAATGCAACATTAAAGTAAAACTTTGTGCACTACGCTGGAGAACTTGTACACTTTCTGATCGAGCTCAGTTTTTCTCACACCACGGTCAACCTCATGACATTTCCACTCACCCCCCGTCCTCACCAGCGTCTCGTTAAAAGCAGATTCTAATCTCGCCCGTCATGTCCTGCTTGCTTGTGGCTCGTGGTTTGAAGACTTCGCAGGAACCCTGACTGCCTTGCTCGATAACCAGATGCATATTTTTTTGGCTTTGCACACCCGTCGAACCCGTTTTTTAAACGTGTGGGCACGGAGAGGGTACAAGAAGCACAGTACGCGAAGACGCCCAAATGCTGGGAAAGTGTTTGGAATGCCTCTCAGAAGGCGGCAAGCAAGTTCAATGTCACAGAAAGAACTGGTTACAGTAAACATTGTCCCTCTGTGTGCCACTTCCTATGTACTACCGCGGAAGAAATGTATAGTTAGTTCAAGTGAATTCCAGCAAGAGGTTAAACTAGGACGCCATGTGTGTTTGTGTGTGTGCTTGTGTGCATGCGTGTGTGTCTGTGTTACCAACAATAGACTCCAGGGGAATTGCAGGGGACTTCAGTGGCTGTGGGCAGGTCCAAGACACCACCCATCAATTTGGCGGTGAGGCTGAATACAGTTTGATATTCCTGTATGTTTGTGCCTCCACCACTATGGCCTGAAACTAGCAGGTTCAGACAGACTGAGAAGACAGGTTGCGTGAT